CGGTTGGGCTCGACCAAGCCATCATCAGTGAAGCGACACCACACTGAGCCATGTTATCTGGCTGCGCTGCCACGCGATTTCGCCACCGCGCTAAGGTGGCAGGGGTGCGGTTGGCTCCTGGGGGGCTTGGGCCTTGAGGGACCTCTCAGAGCTTATGGGGTGACTTTTGAGGAGGTCTTAAAGTACTCTCCGCCCGACGACTTCTCTCGGAGGCCATCCCTGGAGTCACCCGAAGCCGTCTTGCGGCACTCGCGGGACGGTGTCGCACCATGCTGGAATAATATATTGGGCCGTCTAGCGTTCGTTCTTGAAGCCTTGGCGTTGTGAGTGTTTCACGTCACCGTTCGGCTTTGGGAGCCTTGGCGTGACGAACTTGTTACGTCACCGTTGTCTCTGATGAGCCCTGACGTGAATAGCTTTTTAAGGTCTCAGTTCGCTCTTGGGGGTCTTAGTTCTTAGTATCGAGAGTTTCTCACGTCATCGGGGCCTTATTTGGGGACCTCTTGGGTGCCCCTCGGTGACCTTTTTGGGAGCCCCTTGGGCTGTTTGGCGGCCTTTTTGGCCCGTCTGACCCTCTGAGGCCGTCCTGGGGTCATGTCGGCAGTCTCGGGCCAGCTTGGGGGTCTTCTTGGGGCCATCTTGGGGCCATCTTGGGGCACTCGGGGTTGCCTCTTGAGGCCCTGTTGGGGTTCTCTTGGGGGTTTCTTGAGCCCCTCTTGGGCCGTCATGGGGCTGTCTTGGGGTTGCCATGTTCTCAGTGTGACAATTTTCCTCGAACCATCGGGCTGCAACCTTCGAGTAACTCGTCAATGCATGGCGACGCATCTCAATTATGGGTCGATCGCCCATGCTACTGTTGCCACCGATTTCTTATCTGGTCATTTAGTGATCGGTGCACCGCTTCCAGCCGTCTGCGCTGTACTTAGAACTGGTGCGAGGCACCGAGAGAGCAATTCTATAGCGACGCCGGCTAGATCGAATCTATCTAGTGGCCTTCAGCTTACCCCGCCACGGTGCTTGGGTTGTAGAAATGCCTCTTGGATGCCTGTACGGATCTGTTGGGAGGCCTCTCCGAAGCCTTTTGCGGGCGGTTTTTGGGTGCCTGGTGGCCTCTCGGGGGCCCCTCGGCACATCTTCTGGGCCTCTTTTGGGCCTCTTGGGACTTCTTTGGGGGCTCCCGGGGGCCTGCTGCCGGTCTCGGGGGCGCATCTTTGGCGGAGGGCTCCGAATGGTAGTTCGAGGTCCCTCTTTCCTCCTCCTCCTCATCCTCCTCGTCGTCCTCCTCATCCTCCTCGTCCTCCTCCTCCTCCTTGTGCTTCTCTTGGGGCCGCCTGAGGGGCCTCGTGGGCCGTCTCCTTGGTCGTCTTGCGGGCCTCTTGGGGGCCTCTTGGGCAGTCTTGGGGCGATCTTGGGAGCCGAATGGGCCGTTTGGGAGCGTCGGTAGCTCGAAAGGGCCAGAACGAGAACGCTAAACCGAATACGTACTGTAATCGACGATCATTGCTTTTTGGATACCTCCTCGGGCGTTTTGGGGTCCTCTTGGGCCGTCTCGAGACCATCTTTGGCGTCCTGGAGAGCTCTAGGGCCGTCTCGGGACCCTCTGATCCGTCTTGGGCCTGGGAGCCTCCCCGTGCGTTGATGCCTGGTTGTTTAGCCTTGGCGATCGGAGCAGTGACGCGGGATCACGCGGGAAGCTCCAAGAGCGCCCAGTAGCGCCCAGAATTCGGGGCTGTGGAACATTTGAATAATATTACATTACCTATACGACCGCCCTGCGGGCGATATGCCCACCCTGACTAAACTCCAGCCTGTCACCTTGATCTCATCTCTCTCTTGCTCTCTCTCTCTCTCTCTGTGTCTCTCTCTCTCTCTCTCTCGCTCTCTCGCCCTCTCTCTCTCTGCCTCTCTATCAGAGTCTCCCGCCACCACAATGATGATCGCGATGACGATGAGATCCCACTATCTACCTATTCGTCGACCGACCCATCGGTGAATCTCACAGTCGATCTCACTATTGACCTCAAAGCAAAATGAGAAAGCCCGCCGCAGGCACCGAAAAAATGAATTATGAAATTAGCGACATGCGTTAGCGCCGGGACGCCCGGGAAACCCGGGACACCGCCCGGCCCAATTGGGACACCTCCCGTCCACCGGCAGACGGGAAACGGACTTTTGCTCCTACTGACACCCGGGACACCCGGGACACCGCCCGGCCCAACTGGGACACCTCCCAGCCACCGGCGGACGGGAACGGACTTTCGATCCTATTTCGGCCTAGCTACAGGAGGATCACGCGCAGCTTCGCCTCGCCCGCACGCACGACACGAACACCAAACCGCAACCGATTTCCCGGTGGGGGGTCTCCGTTTCATTGCGATCTCACACCCCAACCTCCGATCCAATACCGTGAATTCGAAGGGACTTTCTGACACTCCATTGCGTGCCTCTGCGAACGGTGGCAGATATCGTGATGTTGCTTCGGGTAGGGAACCCTCTATACCATTCCCCCCAACGGTGGAGACTTGGAGTGAAACCCAGATTGGTATGCATTCGGGACGGCGCGGCCTGGGTGAAGCCAACGCCAATCAAGGTCAAATAGTTTATTTGTATGTATGTATGTTTGTACGCTTATGACTATATATGTATGTATCGAGCTGAGTGTTTCTTGTGAGCCGCATGGCCATCTTTTTACAGTTGACAGCATAATTCATCTCGATCATGAAATCAGTCGAAAAAGAACTGCTCTCCGAAATGGACAACAAAATGCTGCCGGATTGAAATCGGAATAGCAGTTGGACACCAACACGGCGACGGAACCAGAAACAATGTGGCGTCTAGTTCGGACACGATTGCAGAACGAAAGCGGGGGAACAAAGATCTTGCGATTTACCATCGCCATTCAGTTTTCGAGCGCAAGGGACGTGAGTCCCGATCCCTTTCGTGTTCAGAGCTTGCGATCGCAAGGGTCAAAGCCCAACGTAAGACCCATCGGGACACGTCAAAGAAGCGAATCCTCGGGCTACTTGCCGTTCAGGGCGTCTGGGGCAGTACCTTGTGCACAACCTTGGCACCTCCGCTGGCCTAAAGACAGGTGGGACTCACCACCCACCAAATCACCCCAACCCAACCCGAAGGCCCCAATTTGCCCGGGGTCGGGAAACATTGAAAAACCACGTGTGGAACCCGTACCCCACCCACCCTGAAATTCGGGTCTTCGGGTTAGGTTCGGGTGATTTGGTAGCTCTTCTACCACGGCCTCCCGCTCAGGCAGTCGTGTACCCAGGGCTCACCCGGCGCACCCTTGTCGTCTCCGTGGAAGAGGGATCGGCGTCACTCCAGCATACTAATACTATGTGTGCGCTCCCCCCTCCCAGGGGCGACGCGCGCACCAAGAGATCTTATAGTATGTGCGTCGTGGCGGGCGCTTTCTGGCCGTACCGCTCGGGAACCGGCACACTACAAGATGGGTGTATTGCATGTTCGGGTCGGACGCGCGCCTCCAAGTAGGACATATATCAGGAGGGAACAAAAGCACACAGACACAATTAACCGTCGATTCCCAGAAAAATATTGGAAAATATGGGAAGTGGGGGGGAAGACAGAAACTCAGAAAATATATGAAAATTTGGGGAATCCTGTTATTTGTGTGTATTTATTTGTGTGTCCCAGGGCCCCTTCAATATAGTACTAGTACGCCTCTGTGCGTCCCAGCGCTATTTCCGTGGCAGAGGGGGGTGGAGGTCTCTCCTGCGGCCTGCTCCTCCCATCTTCTGCTCCGGCCGGGGCAGGGCGGCGTGCCCAGAGCCCCGACGTTATTCAGGAGGGAACAAAAACACACGGACACAATTCATCGTCGATCCCCCGGAAAATACGGAAAAATATGGGAAGTGGGGGGGCAGACCACAACCCAACAAAATATAGGAAAATATGGGGAACCTTTTTATTTGTGAATCCCAGGTCCCCTTCAGTCATGATTTTGTCGCGACGTCGGCCCCGAGAGGTTGCGACCTGCTCCCCAGGACCGGTTTCTTTTCATCCTACATGCCGGTCGTTGACAGTCGGAACTGTTGGGCTCCTGGATCCCAATCTGTTTCAAGCGTCTTCCTACTTCAAGGGCCGGTACGCTTCTGCTGCGTCTTGTGACTCTCTGGGAGGGCCTGAACCCAATCTGCTCTACCCGCCCACCTACTTCAGGTTGTTGCCCACCTCTTCCGACTGCTGTGTACATCGTTTTTTTCGGGCCGAACGAAAGGGGAGGATAGGGAAAGGGGGGGGTACGAAATCTGCTGCATGCAGCTAGTTTCGGCCTCGCCGAGGGGCCCATTCCTCGATACATGGCCGCCTCCGGCGCCGGGAGGCGCAGGGAAGATCAGCTGCGCGAGCTGATTCTCCAGCCCTCCCTTTGCTATCCCCCCCTTTCGTACGGCCCGATGTGTGCATCGTTTTTTTGCGGCAAGGGCCCCCAGGTCGGGTATAGCCAGGACCCCGGGTAAGGAGCCCTGGTTAGTGGTAGGGCCTTGGGGCCCCTCCATTGGCCAGATTCACGAAACCAGGTTTGCCGTAACTGGTGCTTTTCGGGTGACGGCAGCTCCAGTCAGTGGACATGGGGCGGGGGGGCGCCCCCGGTACAAATCACCAAACCAGGCTCCACTGAGCCCAGCTCTGCCAACGCCCGACCAGGGGCCTTGGCATCGCTGGGACGTGTGCACTTTCCCTTCGGCGAGGGCCATCGAGGAGCCTCCTTGATCACTCGGAGAACAAAAGACGCGCACGAAACCGACAACAAAAAAAACAGGGAATGGACGTCCGAGCGATGGCGAGGGGACGAGGGCGCCAGCCTGCTTCCTAGCGCTGGGGCCCCTGGGGGGGGCCCGTCCTGAAAAGCCTCCCGTCGCGATGTCTCGTGCCTCGCGGGGGCCTCGGCGGGCGGGGCCGCGCGCCTCGGGCTCCGCGCCGCGGCTCGGGGGCGGCGGCCTCGCGGCGGCCCCTCCGGAGCCAAG